TAAACCATTTTCTAACATCAGCCTTATAACCCAAATCAAGTGACCTCTAGCTATTTCCAACAAAGCAGGTTTGAGTTTAGAGAGGGAAGAAACCCAATTGATATCCTCAATTCTAGTGGAATCACCACTTCTGATTTCAGATATTAGGCCTTTTAAAAGGAAGGATAAAAAATCCATCCAACTATTCCATAACAAAGATCCATTCTGTGATTTAGAAGCATCAAATATAGAGCAGTTGGAAAAGTACATCTGTTTTAGAATTTTGCTCATCAACAGATAGGCTGAGTTGCAATTCTCCACACTTGCTTGCAAATTAATGCTTCATTGAAAAGAGTAACATACTTAAATCAAAATCCTCTTTCTCCCTTAGGAACAGAAAAGAATTTCCAAGCTTTCCAGTGGATGCTGCTAGATTGAGATTCTCCTTTGCTCCACCAGATTGAGCTTTAACACTTGAAATAGATTTGCAAAGGGATATAAAAAGTTTAAAGCAGGACATTGTGAACAGTGGAAGAGCATTTATAACTGCTTTAATGAGAACTTCCTTACCTGCAGTGAAGAGCATTTTATTCTTCAAACTCCAGAGTTTAGACTGGACTGTGTCTAAGACATAAGAAAAAGCTTCTTTCTTGGATATTCTAATGCCAAGAGGGAGTCCCAGATACCTTGTGGAAGTACGAGGCTTGATGATACCTTGCAGAGCTGCACAAATATTAGACTGAATAGAGGCATGAGTATTCTTACTAAAATATATTGAAGATTTGTCCAAGTTAACTATTTGCCCAGTGAATAGTCTATGTCTCTCCAACAAATTCATAAGCACATTAGCTTGATCAACTCATGCCTTGCAAAAGAAGAGAACATCATCTGCAAATAGAAGGTGTGAGAGAGAAGGACCATTTCTGGATAATTCGAGCCTAATCAGATCACCTCTTAAAAGGGAATTGGAAATCAAGGCAGTAAGGAGCTCAGTAACAATGATGAACAGATAGGGGGATAAAGAATTCCCCTGTCTAATACCTCTTGAAGGATAAATGACACCACAAACAGAGCCATTAAAACAGAAAGAGTATGAAGTAGAAGTGACACACATTACTAGTTATAATGCAATTAAATATCAAATTTATGATAATGATAATTTTTAAAAAGAAATTTTAACCCAAAAATAAGAAGAATATCATGTGGCAATCACAGTAAAAAAAAAGTACGAGAAGTCTAAAATATAAAGCATATCTTCAAGAAAATCATGTCAAATTCTGTTGCACACAACACAACAACCAATTTTTGTAGTAAAAATGGCAAATACTACAATTATCAATTATCAAGTTGTTGATACGCGCCTGGGCATCCTGCAACCGAAGTCGAGCATTCACTGGAAACCTCAAGCTCAAGCTGGAAGTCGTATCTACCCAAAGCACCGATTTAGTGTTGGTAATTGAGCGATTATGCTAATAAATATGATACTTTGTAATCAACTGGTGCGAAAGTGAGCTGCCTAATTGAGAGAGATTCGAGACTCAAGGAATGTGGACAAAAGTACACCTCCATTAGTAGTCTCCTTCCATCTGTGGATCCTAAACAAAAGGGAAAGAATGTAGCCAATTGAGTGTTTTGGTTGTTGGTTGTTTTGGATATCAAAGTGGTTGTGTTTGGATATAAACTGTATGTGAGTTGTCTTATGTGTTTGGTTTTGGTTTTTGGTTCTTGTGTCATGTGAATGGTTTGTTAACAAGATGGACAAGTTCATTTGAGATGTGTTTAGTTGGTTTAGTTTATGGTTTGAAATGTGAATTGTATCTGGTTTTGAGGTTCTAGTTATGAAAATGATAATTGGTTATGGTTATGGTTGTAAATGAGATGTGGTTTTTGATTCGATCTTATGGTTTATAGAAATGAACTCAAGGTTTTGGTTTTGATCCACTTAGTTATGGTTTAATTTTGATCATTAGTTCAGGTTCTGTATAAGACATCTGGTTTTGATCATTACTTCAGGTTATGGATAAGAACATCTTATAACATCAGGAATGTAATTAGCTTTGATAATTTTTCTGTAAATGGTTATGACATCAGGTTTTTGTTTTGTGGTTGTCTTATAGTTTTAAACATGAAAATGCTAAAATGATTCAATGATTCTGAAGTATCACAAAACTTAAATGGTTCTGGTTATGAGAAATAAAATGCATATACCAGTAAGTAGACATGGCCACGGGTTGGCCCGACCCGTGAACCGACCCGAACTGGCTCGCCCTAGCCGGTTTTTGAACCGGCCCATAGCCTCTTAAGGATTGGTTACGGGTCGTGTCGTACTCATTTTTTACCTGCCGGGCCGGGCCCGGGTTTTCCGACGGGCCACAGTTATATATTTTTTTATTTTTAACATGCTGTTCAATGAACCGGCCCTTAGATAAAGACGGGTCAGTCACGAGCCTAGGATTTGAGACCCGCCGACCCGGCGGACTGGGCCACGGCCTATTGACTGGCCACCTCTACCAGTAAGATCAACAAGATTAACATGATTCATTACTTCACATTGAACACATCCCTTACAACATACGTACCAGAATCAATAAATGAAAGTTGACACACATACAATATTCATTCATCAAACCAAGTTTTCATCCATCAACCCATGAATAAATAAAAAAAAATATACATCTTTCACCACATGACAATAACAAAAGGGATAAACAGAACCTATGTTTTAGCAACAAACACTTCGAGATTCCAAATATTTTATCGAATGTTGGAAAATCCTCAACATAGAAGTCTTGTGCATGCTGAAATTGGAGTTCAACACTGTCCTTTATTTTTTTGTTCTCAGCTTCAAGAAATAGCATCGTCTCGCTGAGTTCAATCATTTCAGTGGACAGAATCTGATTGTTCGAGATATCGAGTTCATCATCCTATTTAAAGAATTTGCAACCCCTATCCTTGCCATTCTTGCATTTGTGAAATTTCTTACCAGGACTTGATTGAGTCTTTGATATGCGTAGTTGAGCTCTCAAAACCACAATTAAAAGAAAAAAGATTTGAAGGAGACGAGGATGAAGAAGCTGAAGACATCGATTTTATCTCTCTCGACGTCGACCTTTCTCGCGATAGAAGAAGACAAACGAATTTTGAGAATTGCGGTTCATAATTTAGGTGTGATTGACATATAAGGGAGAGGATGGTGAAGTGTGAAATTTTTTTCCGCCTGAAAATATTAGAATTATTAAATTAACATGAAACTGCCACGACACTCCACGTCAGATAAAAAAACAAGTCATGTCACACCACGTTAATTTTTTTATCCAGGGTGTGGATAAAAAGGGACCAAAATTGATGAAATTAAAAAGTTGATGGACCCATATTGAAAGTGGTCAATGACGGAGTAAATTTTTAGATTGCCAAGAATGCCCATGCAATGGGTGGGGCCCGAACAAATCATTTTCTCTCCTCGATTCGATTGTTTGAATGGCTGAAAGAGAGTAACAAGTCATGTCACGCCACGTTAATTTTTTTATCCAGAGTGCGGATAAAAAAAGACCAAAATTGATAAAATTAGGACCCATATTGAAAGTGGACAATGACGGAGTAAAATTTTAGATTTTTGTCAAATTATATGACCAATTTTGAATTTTAGCCGTTACAAACTATTTTGAATGACAAATCGAGCATACAATCGAATTCCAATTGAAACCAAATTTGGTTGGTACGCCTAGCTCAATAAGAAGAATCCGATGGTGGGTCACCACCTAAATTGGATCTTAAACGGCGTTGGAATTAAATCGAATATAAAATAACTCAAATTTTTTCGGATGACAAAATTGAATGGGCAAACGAACTATGATTGAATTAAAAGTTTACTTATACGGACATCGAACGACTTTTAAGTTCGGCCAAGAAGGAAACAACGAATTTTATCCTGTCATTAATAATTAATGTAACTTATTTGATGATTTTTTTCAAATTAATGTACTACTAAATTTGATGTTTTTCAAAAATATAAACTTAAGAAAAAGACCAATATAGTGTACTAAAAATGAAATTATACTCGATAATGTCACACCTCTTTTAACATACTTTCGAACCTTCAATTTCAATTTAACTTCAAACCTCTCCCGACAAAACATGCAAGGTGATAAGTTCAAATCGATAACCTCCAGTTTTGCTATATTCTATTCACGTGTAACACGTTTCATGACTTCCAACATTCATATCTTGCTTAGGTATAATAATACAAGAAAAACAAAATATGTGTGTTGTAACCTTTGTTTGTATTCCAAAAAAATGTCATTATTATATTTTGTTTCACAAATTCTTCGTTAGACTTAACCCTTGGTCAACCATACTTTCTTAAGAAAAAGTATATATTTATTATGAATTGGAGTTCTTGTGTTTATGTTTTTCAATGTATGATATTCCAGTAAAAAAAAAAAACATATATACAAAATGTGAATGCGTTTAGAGTTACATTAATGATTTTGAAGACTATTGTATTCCCATACGAAGAAAAATAAGATCATACTAAAAAGACTACAAAATATCAAGACTGGGAGATATCACATTCTTATGGTTAACTAACTAATGCTGGTAAAATTTTAAAAATGGTCCACTATGTTGGCCATTTTTCGAAAAAGATCCATCATAGGGCGTCATCAAGAATGGACCAAGTTGCCACTTTAATCAAAATTCATACAAAAACCAAGATAATGTACTAAAAGTGATCGCCATTTATAGTAAAATATCCTGGTTTGTGTATGCATTTTGATTAAATTGAAAACTTAGTGGACCATTATTGATGACACCCTATATGATGGACCTTTTTCGAAAATGACTAACAAGTGTACTAGAAATGAAATTTATCCAACTAATGCTTATTGTATCTCACACTTGGCTACACACACACACACACCAGCTCCAATGGATCAGACAATTTACACAGTTCAAACTCGAGACACTTCCGATTAAAAAAAGAATCAAAGAGTTCCCATTAAAATAAAATCAAATATTAAATACTAAACCTCAGACTTATCAGCAGAGGAATCTTCAACTTCCTCATCATCAGGCATCATGTTGAGATCAAAACCCCTCACAACTTTCCCTTTATCCTTACTATTGCCACCATTATCATCACACTTGAGTTGAGCTTGTTTCTGTTCACCATTATAGTTTCTCGCTTCACAGCATGCATTCTTGTCCTGGGAAGTCGTAACCTGATCGACCGCATTCACAATGTTGATCTTGAACTTGTTGTGGCTCGATTTATGTCCACCCAGTGCCTGGTGGGAAGAGAACACTTTACTGCATATACTGCATGCATATTTATAATAATCACACAAACCATCCTTCTGCTTCGGTTTGGGCTTAATCGGCACATTATCCAAAATCGGTATTTTCTTGAAATCAAACCTCTGATTGGTATGATTTTCTTGTGTCCCGTTTTCTGATTCGGCACTGTTAAACAGAATATCAGCCTTGATTTTTCCGATTTTCTGCCTCGTGGAATCTCTGTTTCCGTATCTCACCTCATTATTATGCCCATTTTCGTAACCACAACTGTCGAGATTCCGTTTGAGCAACCTCAGAAGCTCGTGCCCAGCCCGAACACCTTCCTCATAATCCTCGCTTGAAATATCCTGGGTTTTATTAGGCTGCGCGCCGCTGCCTCGTATAGCCTTCACAGCCCATCCCTTGAGAGTATCATCTGGACTCGTTGGCGGTGGTTCCATCCCTCTCCACTCGCGATCCGGGTGGCAACGCATGTGGCCGTACAGCGACTTCTGGTTGAGGAACTGTTTTCCGCATATAGGGCATTCCGGGCCGGGCCCTGGAGAGCTGGAGCCCGTTTTGAGAGAGTAATCCTTGCTGGCCTGGACATGGGCGCTGCTCATGTGCCCGCCTAAAGCCTTGCCCGAGCTGAAACTCTTGTCGCACTCCTTACATTGATGCCTCTTTTCCGGACATATCGTTGATTCCGGGCAATTAATAATAACGTCTCCATCTTCTTCTTTGTTTATCCCATATTCACTATTTTTCCGGTCAGTGAATGGGTTGTTTTCTTCGGAAATTTCCCGATTTTGGTGCTCCATCTTCAGAGAAGGAGAGTAAGGAAAAAGAAATTCACAAGAAGCTGAAATCTTGGTGAAGTCTTAATGGGGATTTTTTTTTTTCGGTTTTTCCTATTTGGAGCTGAAAAGGAAAACAACCCTAGTATAATTAGTTATGGACTTGATAAAACGAGGATTAGTTATGGAAATAATATAATATTTTCTTTCCGAAAATATTGGGGAAGAATATATTTTTATTTTTCATCTTTCTTGTGCTCATTATCATCAATAAAGAGTAATGGGTGTGGGGACTGGGGCGTAGTCATATAGACTTACTACTCCTGTCTTAAGAATTCAACAACACTATTAATTATGTATTAATTAATGAAATTTTTAGTTAGTTCAGTCTATATTAAAATCTAACTTCAGCATTGATATATTTTTAAATTTATTTTTATTTAAGACAATTACAAGAAAGTGAATAAACTTTGAAGAGTGATAATATGACTATTTATGGTGAATTTCACATGTATGTCAGTGTTTGTGATTCGATGGTTATAACTTCAACGGATGTAGTTCCCACAAGGAAGGGTTGAAATTGAATGTTCCATATGTGAGACCAATTGATAGCATTTTGGCTTGAAATTTTTCTTTTGTACAGTGAATAATAAATTGATAGTATACATGAAATAATACAATTTTAAAATTTTATTTTCTATTGTTTTGATGGTTGCTTTGATGTATATGTGAGATAATATACTAAAAATTTATATGAATTGTTAAACAATTTAATTTGTTTATATCACGAAGATACGCTTATTATATTTTTCACCTAACTTATGAAACAAAAACACCAATATAGGTAAAATTTTAAGTTTTAGTATCCTCTTTTTGATAGATATACATATTAAAATAGGTAATATAAGTATGCAACATTTGAAACATTTTATTAAAGAAAAAAAAAAGATGTATCTTTTTCGATACTTGAATTGATACATGTTCATATATGTAGGGTGTACAGAGTACAAAAGTATTCCAAGTTTATAAATCAATTTTAAAAAATTAAATTAGCAAAATGCATTTTATGCCCTGTAACTAGGGGTGTGTGACAAATCTAGATAGCTTTTTTTTTGTTTGACAAAAGTGTCCTGAAACTTGTTAAAACCCAAAATTCGTGCCTAATTTGGGCACAAATTTCGAATTTTAACAAGTTACTGTCTTGTTTTACCACACGAAAAACCGGTCAAATCCGGTAACTTATAGGTAAATTAGGCACGAATTCCGGATTTTAACAAGTTTTGGGGACTTTTGTCTAACCAAAAAGAAGTTGTCCACATTTGCCATACACGTATAGTTACAAGGCACAAAATGCAATTTTTGCAAAAAATAAATTCAAACAACTAGATACAAAAATTACGCTTATTCAATTCTCACCATTAATTAAACTAGCCCCGCAAGGTTTGATTACTGACCCGAATAGTTTTGAATCCTTGCTACACCAGATTACAAAAATATTCTAGGTGTGACATGTAATATAATTATGCATGAGTTGTTAGACGAAAATAAAGTATGTTTTAGAACTCTTATATGTATTTCTAATTTCAAATATTAATTTTGTTGTAAAATATAATATATTTACGAGTATGTTAAAACTGATCTTATTATGTATTTCTAATATTAAATATTAATTTTCACTACTTGAAATTGGGCTATTACTAACCAAATTTTGCAACTGAATTTGAATTGTTACAATAGTAACAAAGATTTAGATACGGAATATACTTTCAGAAACGGAATGTACTTCAAACAATTGTATTTGTTTTAGTACTGAAATTTGTGACGAACTCATTATGTTACAAACAAACATAAATTTGAATTTAAACACTTAAAATTCTATCTTATTTCTAATTTATATAATATTAATATAAATTATAAATATTTTATTTATTATCTTTACAAGCCGCAAACACTAGAGTAAAATTCGTCTAAATTGGACTAAATGAGCTAAACTCAATGCCCCAGTTTTTAGCGAAAAGTTCGAGAAGTCATGTAGAAAAAGTTCGAGAAGTAGATCACTTTACCGGCTCATGTAGATATTCCTTTAGATAGATGTTTAATCGATACACTAAATTCAGCTTAGTCCGACTCTATAACGCTTACGATTTTGTCTTGGTGGACAATAAAATCATTGTAATGGTAAATCGACACATAGGAGCTCTCGGCGCTCCTCGACGGACACGACGATGTGGGTGCGCCATGCCTAAACTCTTTTTTGTTGCTATTATTATTATAATAATTATTATTTTGAAGCTCTTTTATTATTAGAATTAAGAATATTTTTGCATTTTTCATTTTTTATGTATACCAAAGAAATTAACTTTTCTAATCCAACTATTGAAATGGTTTTCTATATTCCTAACAAGTGAGAGGAACTATCATAATAAGAAGGGCCAGAAATAACACTACAACATAACAAAAAGGGCAAAACAAGTAGAACCATCGGTCACTCACGTTCAACTCTTTGTTCTTCACTCCAACTTATTTCTTATCGTCCAACCACTGCTGTCACTAGGGGTGTTCAGATTTCGACTAAAATCGAACAAACCGACCGAACCGAATCCGACTCGGTCAGTTTTTGATTGTAGTCGAATTGAATTTCGGTTATTTCGGTCGGTTCCGGTTTCGAATATCAAATGTCCAAAATAACATAATCGACCGAATAATATATGTAAATATTATACTATATTATATTATACTCTATATTATAATAATATATCATATATTATATAATTGATACTGCCATAAGTAGCACTTCATGAAAATGTCTTGAAATAATGTTTCTTGATTACACATTTTCTTAAATTATATTTTTGCTTCAAGAAAATGTCGGACTGGTTAGTCATTATTGACTTTTAGTTTGGTACATATATTTTTTATTTGAATTATTTAGTTTTTCTACATCTTTTAGTTAAAGATTTAATTTCATTTGCAATTTTTCTCTATGGAATATTTAGTTTTCCTAGTCTTTTAATTAATGATCATTTACAATTTTTCTTTATGGAATATTTAATTTTCCTAGATCTTTTAGTTAATGATTTAGTTTCTTCTACAACTTTTCTTTATGGACTAAGATATATTTTAATCCTATGTGTCGACCATCTATATGATACTCATTTTCTTGTAGCATCTTTTGTTTTGGTTTGTATTTCCTTATACAATTTACAGTTATATTAATAATATTTAAATAAAATATTGTAAGTATGATAACTAATTAAATTAAATATGGTAGGCTAACTTTTATAATTTATTTTAAAAAAAAATTATAAACGTAAAGTTAATAAATAATTATTGAGTTGCACAATATGTTAGGTTAATAATAGGAAGTTGTAATTAATTAATAAATATTGAGTAGTAATTAATAAATAGGTTAAGTTAATAATAAATAGGGAGATGTAGTTAATTAATAAATATTGAGTTGTAATTAATAAACAAGTTAAGTGAATAACTCACGGTTTCAAGCATAATAACTATCACATCCTATATCAAATAACTGACCACATCTAAAACTCTTCTATTAACTACTGAACTCCAAATCATCTTATTACCTATTAACTGACCACGTCTAAAACTCTTCAATTAACTTCTGAACTCCAAATCATCTTATTACCTATTGAACTCAATTACATTTTGAGTATTACACTCATACATTTATTTGGCAGTCATACTTCTATGAGAGTGAAACGTCAAAGAATAGGATGAGATTTGAACTCCAAATCATCTTATTACCTATTGAACTCAATTACATTTTGAGTATTACACTCATACATTTATTTGGCAGTCACACTTCTATGGGAGTGAAACGTCAAAGAATAGGATGAGATTTGAATTATCCGCGAGAGTTTTTCTTCTTTTCACCGATATATGATACGACAGAATAATTTGATTCTTTTATACAGACCCAAGAATATAACACTAGAGAGAAGACATCGATATTGCAGCTGTACTTGAATAAGCTACCAACATATGAAGGGTTCATATCAGCGACTCAGGAAACATTACGGTATCTTGACTTGAACAAACTGCCAATGTATGACGGGTTCATGGGTTCATATCAGCGACTCAGGAAACATTACGGTATCTTGACTTGAACAAGCTGCCAATGTATGACGGGTTCATCTATGCGGCACAAGAACGAGAGAAGGCTCAGCGAGTTCTATTAGGGCATAATCATGAAATGTTAAAAATATTACTTCCAATTTTATTTGAGGATATAAAATGATTAGTAGTTTGTATTAATTGTACTTTGATGTTTTATCAATTGAGTTTTTTATTATTGTATTGATGAAATAAAATAATTGTATTTTATTTCATTTTTCTTTAATCTTGCTTGCTTATTTTTAGTGGTACTAATGAATTCATTTGATGCAAAACAATTTCACTGAATGCAACAATAAAAAATGAAATATGCCATTATATTGTAATTGTCACTAATATTAAGATATTAAGAACAAAACAATCCGCTTTTAATTTGGTTTCTATTGTTGATTAGTTAGGAACAAATAATCTCGTTTCTAATTTAGTTTCTATTACTGAATAATTAGGAACAAATAATCTGGTTTCTAATTTGGTTTCTATTACTGAATAATTAGGAACAAATATTCCCGTTTCTAATTTAGTTTCTAATAATAAACAATTAGGAACAAATAGTCTCGTTTCTAATTTGGTTTCTATTACTCATTAATTAGTAACAAATAGTCTCGTTTCTAATTTGGTTGCTATTTCTCGAAGACTAGAAACGGCTTGCTTGTTACAAAAGCCGTTACTGATAGCAACAGAACGGAATCCGTCTCTGAGAATCAGAACCCTTGTTTTCACTAACCAATAATGAAACAGATTTTTTTATTCCTATTATTTATTAGGAACGGAAAATAAACTTTAACCAACGGAATTTTTTGTTCTTGATGATTCATATTCTAGTAGTGTAATTTGTGTGTGACTCTTTCATTTTTGATAAGTTGTAAATATTAATTTCGTATGTGAGTCTTTCATTTTTTGAAAAGTTGTACTGTATTGCTTTTCGTGTGTGAAGGAGCTCTTTTGGTTTTTGAAAAGTTGTACTGGTATTTCTAATTTCAGAAGCTCTATTTCTCATATCATTCCTTCAAAAGTTCTATTGTGTTTCTAATTTCAAAACAAAATTTCATTTCTTTCCAAATTCCTCTGTTACTTATTTTAATTTCTTTTGTTAGGTTATTAAATTTATAATACATAATATACAAAATACTTCTCAATATTTCTTTCAAAATTCTCTCTTACTTATTCTAATTTCTTGTTTAAGTTATTAAATTTACAAAAATAAAGACTGATACAAAGATAAAGGGGAGAGATTTGTTTTGTAGAAGCTTATGTTAGTTTAAGAACAAAATTATCTAATCTTTTAAACATCAAATAAGACGATAAAAGTTTATACAAATTTTTTAAACATCAAATATTTTAGATTGATATACAAACATGATGTTGATTTGTGTTTGCATGTTGTTAAAAAATTATCAAACAATTTGAGAAGCTTGTACAATCTTTTAAAAAGCAAATAAGATGATTTAAAANAATTAGATAAAGTGCTACTAGTATGGGAGAAATGTGTGGCTAATAAAAGCCATTTACTTCTAAAGTTGAAACTGGTTACATATTTTGATAGATGAAAAAGAAGAAAGAAAACAATTGAAACTTTGATAAATTGAAAATCGGTCACACATAGAAGTGTTCCAAGTATTGTAGAAAAAAAGTATCCCTTACAATAGAAAAAAAGTATCCCTTACAATATAAAAATTTCGAGCTAACTCTAATATTGTTATAGAATATTTTGTGATAAATATATTAAAAAAACATAATAATTTTGACAAGTGTACAATATAGAATATTTTGTGATAAATATATTAAAAAAACATAATAATTTTGACAAGTGTATAAAAAAATTGATAAATGTAAAAAGAATGATAGAATAAATTTTGATAAATATCAAAAAAATCATTTGCAATGCCCTAGTGTTGTTATAGAATGAAAAATGTTAAGGGTACGGAATAAAAATTTTCTCTCCTATTAGTCTAACTACAATTTTATTTACTTATTAAATATTAAAAATTTAGAAAAGAGGAAATAAAATTAATTAAATAATTAAGTAGTTTTAAATTAATTAAAACTACAAAACACTATTACCGGGTAGTTTTGAATCCTGGCTACTCCTTTGTTAATTAAATTACAAAAACACTATTACGGGATAGCTTTGAATCC